TGGGTGGGGGTCTAACTTCCCGACCTCATCCTCTGGGTGACACAGGCAAGGGTTTCCTTCGGCCTCCCTCTTCTGGCTCATTCCCAGGAAGCCTTCTCTCCTGCAGGGGAGCAAGAATTCACCCGCCCTAACGAGTGAGATGAGGTCTGGGAAAGGCCACAAAGCGGAAGCATGGAGGGAGACAAGAGGGGAGCAAACCTGAGGATTTTTAGAGTAAAAAATACGTATAGGGGAAGGGTCCTTTCTAAACATATTTCCTTTTGGCCTAGATTATTGCAAGACCCAAATGGGAACCTGCCCCGTCTCCTCTGAAAGAACCAAGGCCATCTCGTTAGCAGCCAAGACCTGCCTCCCTGCTCCTCCCAGAGGTGGGTGTCTAACCAGGGGCACATCCCCTGTTTGATGAGAAATCAGTTTTTTTGGAATTCTGTGATGGTGAAGAAGGCATTTTAAGTCCATAGATAGTGATGTTACGGAAGCACCATGGGCAGGGGAGGCGGTCTTGGATCTAGGTGATGTGTCCATTCCTGTGAGGACAGCCCCCTGCCCCTCAACCAGGATCGGAAGGTCCAATGTAATCAACCTGCCACCAGGTGACTGGCTGGGCCCCCTGGGCAGGCGTGACACTGGGGGCTCACCTCTGGTCTCCCCTGTTTGCAGGTGAGGCATGCTGCAGGAGCTGTACCATGCCCCCTGCCTGGCCTTTGTAAATACCCAGTCGCAGAACTCTGTCTTGGTACCATGCCCAGATGGTACCTGAAGCTCTCAGGGACTTTCGACCTCATGAAAGGCTCCTTCCCATGGGACACAGGGCATTTGATTTCCTTTCTCTAAAGTGCTATGATATCATAGTCCACCAAACGGCACTCAGAGTGTACCAGCTTGTCACGACAACTCCAAACCCCCGTCTGAACAACTCTGTCTATTGGTTTATAAAACCACTGAAGCAAATCAGCTTGCAAGCAACCCTGGCAGTTCCCCTCTCACTGGGTCTTACTGAGTCAGGGCTATGAATCTGATACTGACTTCGCCTCACACTTTATGGGAGGCATGAAAACAGCCCCTGCACTTGATCTTAAAACATTCATATTTGACAGTTGGTGGCTCTTGTCACAATAGAAGCCTCTTCATGTGCCCAAGGGGCCACACTGCCATTTTGGAAATCTGAACTTTTGATTCATTGCACAGTAATGAATTCGCCCGTCTTTCTACATGGTCCTTGACTACTAGTCTCCGATGCTTACCTAGTGAGGCTTTTTAAGTTCTGTCAGAATGTTTTTGTCACCATGTTCCTGAAGTTGCAAGGATTACTAAAACTCCCTAAGAATAAAGACTTCGACCACAACAAAAATCTCATACACAAACATAAAGTGGATGTTCCCTTGTGCACCAGCCAGTGTTCTGGGGGGTTTTATACCCTGCATTCATTTCTTCTTCCTTTGTTCATGCTGTGATGGGGCCTGAAAGCCTACTATGTACCAGGCATCCTTCTAGGCTGCAGGGAGAGGCTGCCGCGTCCCTGCTCTGGTTTAGTGGGGAAATAGGAACAAGTGAACAGAATGATAAATCTACTGAATAAGTAAACCAGGAGTGGGAGGAGGGGAAGGGACTTTGGAAAAGGAGCTCACATATGAAGGGCAGACTTGCTTCCTAGGGAGCTGGGATTGGGCTGGGACAGGAAGCACACGTGTGTGTGGGCGTCTTGGGGGTGGAAGACTAACTAAAGTTCAGGGGCATGCACTGGGGTGCCCAGCTTCCATTGGGAGCTTTTCAAACCCCCGTGATTCCCTTTCTCTGGGCTTTTGCTCTCTTCTGGACTTTGCACCGACTATGCTCCAGCTCATTGCTGAACGATAATCTATATATATAAAAGGCTAATATGCTAAGTGTCCAACCGTCCAACTGGTCGCTATGCTGCGTACTGATCACCAGGGGGCAGACGCTCAACGCAGGAGCTGCCATGATGTGCACTGGCCATTTACAGAGAAATGGCACTGCAGACCTGGTGCCCACAAAGTAATACTCAGCTTCCCCCAAGGGGGACACAGGCCCCGCCTCCACCCGGGAACAACAGCCCACCAAATCGCAGCCAATGCTGCTGAGATCCCATGGCGCAAAATGCGGCCCACAGCCCAGCCCAGCTCGGAAACTGTGGCTGTGGGCGCCGGGTAATGACATTACGTAGCAACATCGACTTTCTCTCCCCAGTGACAACTAGCCTCCTTGCAGTTTTTGAAAATCACTTCAGGTTTTCTCACTGTGCAGAATATAGTCAAACATTGCTGCTGTTAAATATTTTACCCTTTGTTCCCCCTTATGTCATCTACAATAATAATCTGCTTTGTGTTGATATTTACTGCTGTGTTGCTGACAATTACCTGAAAGAGAAGTTGGGCTGCTTCACTGGGCTGGAAAAAGTTTAGCTAAATCAGAAAGCAGGTCTGTCTAAGCAAGTTTATTCTGTATCTATAAAAGGCCAAGCTGACTGGTGCATGCCTAATACATATAAAGCTCTCACTGGTGCCAGTCGCACGTGTGTGTTTCAATCTGTCATTGTCGATCATGAATTTGGTTGACACTTTTATTATAGAGAAAGGGTGAATAGAGATATTAAAATATTTCTTCTAATTAATTTCCTTTCAATGTGCATGAATTCATGCACCGGGCCACTACTCTATTCAGAAACGTTTATAGGGTCCTACTGCATGTGGAGCATCGTGCTGTTTATTGCCTGTAATCCTCCCAAAATCCACGGAGCAGCCCGCTGACCAATGGATAACCTTTCTCTGTCGGGTTGTTATGACTCTCCTTATTTTATTAAGTTCTCAGACACTTTCTGGGCAAGCTCTTCTGTTGCATCAAGCAATTTATTTTGGGGCCAATATGACCCTGTTTTAATGATTTTAGCCTTGTAGTATAGTTTAACTTCTTTTTTAGAATTTTATTTTTTATTGACTCCAGAGAGGAAGGGGGAGTAGCAGGTGAGAGATAGAAACATCAGTGATGAGAGAGAATCATTGTTCGGCTGCCTCCTGCACGCCCCACACTGGGGATTGAGCCTACAACCCGGGCATGTGCCCTGACCAGGAATCCAACCATGACCTCCTGGTTCATAGTTTGATGCTCAACCACTGAGCCACACCAGCTGGGCAAGCTCCCTTCTTGAAACTCCCCCTTTCTTGGTTCTGAACTTGCTGAGTTTCTCCCCTCCGACACACTTACACTTTCCCCTTCCCTCCCCATCTCCTCTTCCCTCCTCCCTTCTCCTTCCCTTCTCTCCTTTACCCTCCTTAGCCAACTTCTCCAGGCAAATCCAGGCCCTCTGACCACTCCTTTCTTACGTGCTAGGATAGATTCTTGGCTTAGCCCTGCCCTCCTCTCTGCCCAGGCTTCAGACAGAAGGGGAGAGGGTAGGAATAAAGGCATCCCTGTGCTGCAGGAATGGAGGGTTTCTCTAACCATCTGGGTGCCATGGTGGGAGGGAGGGAGAATTAGGCCCAACTGCAGGACCCTCAAGTCCCCTGCTTGTGGTTTACAAGATCCAGCCCAGATGCCCTGTGGCCCCACTCTCCTCTGCTCTCCGCTCTGCCATAAACTCAAGGGACACCTCACTCACTCTGTGCTTGTCCTCTGGCCTCCAGGAGGGCTCTTCTGGACATTCACATCCCTGATCCAGCTTGTCATTTAGGCCGTCCCTTAAAATGTCACCTCTGCCATGAGGCCTTCTGAGGATGACAGGTCCATATAAAGAAGCTCCCATGACACCCTGTTTTATTCCCTCATACCATTTGTCCACAGTGGCAATCATAAGGCTTCTATTTGTTTTTCTGATCCTGCTTCCACCTTTCATTGGGCTACATGCGGTGTCCACGCAGGAACCTCCCAGAGCCTGGTCAGGGAACATTGCCCCGCTGGGTAGAAGCTTGCTCCTCAGGGCTTAGTCATTGATTCTATGAATGAGAACAGAAACTCAGGCACGACAGGGAAGGATGGCCAGGAGCATGAGTTAAGAGCAAAGCGAGAAGCCAGGATTTGGATTCCGTGCTCTGCCCAAGTCCCCAGCCCTCGGTTCGCCCAGGCTGACGGAGGCGGGGCTGGCCCAGGGCCCAGGGAGGCAAGCGCCCGCCGTCCACCGAACCCAAGGGAACTGGGAGCAAGTCACTACCACCAAGTGGGGAGCTTCACAGGGCTCTCGGCCTGGGCCAACCCAGCAACTTGGATTTTACTTAGGAAGCGCAGACACTGGGTCGGGAGGGGGGGCAGGAGAAGCAGAGGGAGACCCCACTCCCGGCTCCCTCCCCTTTGCCCCCCACCTCCGCTCAGCCCGGGGA